TCTCTCTCTCTCTCTCTCTCTCTCTCTCTCTCTCTCTCTCTCTCTCTCTTTCTCTCTCTCTCTCTCTCTGTCTCTCTCTCTCTCTCTCCCCCTCATAAGCATTTAAATGTTTTTACTTAGAAGCAACACCAGCATGAAAAAAGTAGTTAAAAGGGTACAAACCCTCTGCAAATACACTTATAAGATACATCTTATACAAAGGGCAAGCCAAGTCAATAAACAAGAAACATTGCAACAAAAGCACGTCGTACTTAAACTCGAGAAGAGACAAGATGTACAAGAAAAAGAGACCGACGACCCTGCCCATTTCCCCCATAACAATCGTCATGATTTGGCAAGTACCTCTTTGAAGCCTGACTTATCCGCATCTTCATCTACCACCATCATCAGGAATAAAATGTTAATAAACACAGCGCAAACAAACGCTGCACTATCTTCACAAACTAGAACAATGCGTACAACAAAAAGAAACAAACCAGACAAGATAGCTTTTCTTTTTACAAGTATAATAATAGTAATAATAAAATAATAATGAAAATAATGATAATATAATAACAATGATGATGATGATGATGATACTACTACTACTACTACTACTACTACTACTACTACTACTACTACTACTACTACTACTACTACTACTACTACTACTACTACTACTACTACTACTACTCATCATCATCATCATCATCATCATCATCATCATCATCATCATCATCATCATCATCATCATCATCATCATCATCATCATCATCACCATTGCCTTTCTCACCCTGCACCAGGGTATAGGCCACGGACAAACACTTTCCACCTTTCTCTATCCTGAGATAGCCTCTTGACATTAATCCATGTCTTCCCACTTTTCTGTACTTCAATTTCTGTGACCCTCCTCCAGGTTCCACGCGGTCTTCCACTTGATCTCTTACCCTGTGGATTCCAATCCAACACTTTCTTTGTTATGCAGCTGCCTGACTTTCTGAGAGTATGTCCAATCCATCGCCACACCGCCTACTTTCTACCTCATCTCTGACTTGGATCTGTCTTGTTTTCCTGCTCACTTCCTCGTAGGTGACCCTGTCTGTCCATCTGATCCTCAATAACTTTCTTTGACACTTGTTCAAGAATACCTGGATCCTCTTTATGCAAGCCTGTGATGCGTTCCAAGCCTCAATGATAATAATAATAATAATAATAATAATAATAATAATAACAACAACAACAACAACAACAACAACAACAACAACAACAACAACAACAACAACAACAACAACAATAATAATAATAATAATAATAATATAATAATAATAATAATAATAATAATAATAATAATAATAATAATAATAATAATAATAATAGTAATAGTAATAATAATATTCTTATGAGACTCTATTAGAATACACGCAAACGGGCTTGCTTCCTAGGACGGAGATCCAGACGGCGCATATAAGAGCAATTTTGTCTACACAGAGGTCCTACGGTAATGAATCAGGTACAAACATTTTATCTCAGAACTTCCTATCATTATATCACCGTTCGTAGAACGGGTGTGTATCTTGTAATAATAATAATAGTAATAATAATAATAATAATAATAATAATAATAATAGTAATAATAAAAATAATAATAATAATAATAATAATAATGATAATAATAATAATAAAAATAATAATAATAATAATAATAATAATAATAATAATAATAATAATAATAATTTAAAAAAAATAAAAAATAATAATAATAATAATATGACATTTATATTAGCTCTCAACCACGATTGAAGTACACAGCCTTTGAGGGCTTAACAATACAACAATACTTTAATATTTAAAAAAATAAGACTAGATTTAGATATCTGCTGTGTGCTCATCGGAATTTTAGCGTATTAAAAATGGTAAGCGGTGGCTTAAAAGTAGGCCTAGGTAGTTCATAGTTCAATTTTGTCAGATGTAGGCAATTTTAGATTCGGCTCGAAAACCAAGTAAAAGTTAAGGTTTTTCAAACGCTTTTGATTCTAGTAAGAAAGTGAAATTTCCACAAAATGTCCAAGGCGTTGCTGTATTGTATGATAGCTGCAACTGCGTTATGAATAACGTGTGTCTAAAGTAATTCTGATCTTGCTTTTTAAAAAGGAATTTAAAATTAATTTCCTGTTTCGGTTCAGTTTATTTTTTACTTTATCAACGGAAACGAAGATATCTGATACGTTTTTGTTTTGTTTTTATTTGGTTTTCAGTTTTGGTCTCTAATTTCTATTTTGTCGGACCTAATCATACTTTTTTTCAGTTTTCAAAATTTTTAAAACCATGGTGCGAAGTGCAACCACCGTGACTAGCTATGCGATTGTGTGTATGCACGCACGCGCGCGCGTGTGTGAGTGCGTGCGTGCGTGCGTGTGCTCACACATTATGTGGGTGGTTAGTGGGTGCTCTGGTGAGGTTTTCTCCTTCTTTCCTATCAAACATCTATCGTCCTTATCTCTCTTCCTTTTTGTGTGTTTGTAGCTCTCTTGTAGGTGCCGTAAAACACTTACTAAAATTAAAAAACACATTATGCACGCATGTAATATATATAAATATATATATACATATATAAATTATGGCTATGCAATTGTGTGTAAGTGTGTATGTGTGTGTGTGTGTGTGTGTGTGTGTGTGTGTGTGTGCTTGTATGTGTTTGCGTGTGTGTGTGTGTGTGTGTGTGTGTGTGCGCGCGTGCCTGTATGCGTGCGTGTTTACATTATATGATACATTCATACTAACATTATTTCAAATACAAATTGAAAAAAAACACCCTGTAAGTTTCATTTTACACTTCTAA